TGTCTGTATGTCCCAGTGGAGTAGTGAGAGTGAATGCTAGACGTCTGCTTTTCTCTGTGTGTGTGTGTGTGTGTTCAGACGTTGTTTTATCTCTCATGGGCTCTTCTCTTCATTGTCTGTTCACTGACAGTATAATTCAAGCTCACTCTGGAAACAAAAGCATGTAATGAATGCACACCATCCATTCTGCTTATGAATGAATTAATTACTCCCGAGCACAATGGGCCAGGTTGAGCTGGATGCGCCTTTTATAAAGTCATGCACTTTTTTTCCTCTGTCAGTGTGTGAAAGAAATGTGCAGTGTTATGAAGGCTTGTGAACATGAACCTGCTGTTTGTAACACAATTTCAGACCTTCAAACAAACTATTGCATGTTATAAAAAATGTATAGTGACTTTGGGGTTAGAGACTTTAAGCAGTTTTTTTACAATACATCAGACGCATAGCTTGGGGATCCTTGGACCTCTGTGTGGCTGAGAGATTCAGTTTTTAAAGCGTACTAAAATTTGTTTATACAAGTCACATGTAAGTAAAACGGTCCTCCTATTGGTCAGAGTGCACTATATGTGATAAGTATGAACAATATATGAACTGCGATAAGTAATGCGCTCACCTGCTTTTTACATAACACATTTCTAATTTTGAATTGTGATACAGCTTGGTTCGTTGGTCCAATGGGTCAGATTACTTTCTCACCACAATTGAATGGCAAGAATTAGTTTTCAGTCAGGCCGAGTTCACCTCGTTCTGGAGATCTCTGACCGATTACTCTGGTGCGGATCCAGGCATGATTGCTGTGTTCATATATGCATATAAGCCAACCGAAGGGAGAAAACATGCCAGGTTCAGAAACAAACGCTCTAAAAGTAATATGAATTAAGTTTGCCTCACACATGTATGCTACTGACATAAATGATAACTCCATTCATGCAATTCATTCATGTGTATATTTTACGAACAGATTCATTTGTTCATTCATTAATTTGTTCATTAATTGTTTCTTTTTTTTGTTTTGATTGTTATTTTTATACTTTTTGTTAGTTTTATAAATATTTAATTGATTGGCATTTTGTTCTTTCTCTCTTCTGTTCATGTGTTTGTTCATTCACTTTTGTTTTTTTTAGCTTTTATTTGCTTTGTTTTTGTGCTTTTATGTGTTTTTTTTGTTTCACTTTTCTTTGCTTTTTTGCTTTGCTTTGCTTTTTTGTTTTGTTTCGCTTTTCTTTGCTTTTTTGTTTTGCTTTGCTTTTGCTTTTTTGTTTTGCTTTGCTTTGCTTATTTGCTTTGCTTTGCTTTTTTGTTTTGTTTCGCTTTTCTTTGCTTTTTTGTTTTGCTTTGCTTTGCTTATTTGCTTTGCTTTGCTTTTTTGTTTTGTTTCGCTTTTCTTTGCTTTTTTGTTTTGCTTTGCTTTTGCTTTTTTTGTTTTGTTTTGCTTTGCTTTGCTTTTTTGCTTTGCTTTTTCGTTTTGTTTAGCTTTTCTTTGCTTTTTTGTTTTGCTTTGCTTTGCTTTTTTTGTTTTGTTTTGTTTTGCTTTGCTTTTCTTTGCTTTTTTGTTTTGCTTTGCTTTGCTTTTTTGCTTTGCTTTTTCGTTTTGCTTAGCTTTTCTTTGCTTTTTTGTTTTGCTTTGCTTTGCTTTTTTAGTTTTGCTTTGCTTTGCTTTTGCTTTTTTTGTTTTGTTTTGTTTTGCTTTGCTTTGCTTTTTTAGTTTTGCTTTGCTTTGCTTTTGCTTTTTTTGTTTTGTTTTGTTTTGCTTTGCTTTGCTTTTTTAGTTTTGCTTTGCTTTGCTTTTGCTTTTTTTGTTTTGTTTTGTTTTGCTTTGCTTTGCTTTTTTAGTTTTGCTTTGCTTTGCTTTTGCTTTTTTTGTTTTGTTTTGTTTTGCTTTGCTTTGCTTTTGCTTTTTTGTTTTGCTTTGCTTTTTTAGTTTTGCTTTGCTTTTGCTGTTTTGGGCAGATAAGCAGCGCTCACATTTCTTAAGAAAATATTAAAATGTTTTTTTTTTATTTTATGAATTGAATAAATTATTAGTTTGGTTAAAAGTTTTTTTAGCTTTTATTTGCTTTGTTTTTGTGCTTTGATGTGTTTTTTTTGTTTCACTTTTCTTTGCTTTTTTGTTTTGCTTTGCTTTTGCTTTTTTTGTTTTGTTTTGTTTTGCTTTGCTTTGCTTTTTTTTTTCTTTTGCTTTGCTTTGCTTTTTTGTTTTGTTTCGCTTTTGCTTTTTTGTTTTGCTTTGCTTTGCTTTTTTTGTTTTGTTTTGCTTTGCTTTGCTTTTTTGCTTTGCTTTTTCGTTTTGTTTAGCTTTTCTTTGCTTTTTTGTTTTGCTTTGCTTTGCTTTTTTAGTTTTGCTTTGCTTTGCTTTTGCTTTTTTGGGCAGATAAGCAGCGCTCACATTTCTTAAGAAAATATTAAAATGTTTTTTTTTAATTTTATGAATTGAATAAATTATTAGTTTGGTTGTGTTTGCTGTTTGGTTTTGACAACGTTGATAAATAACTGAATTAGATAAAATTAGATAGCTCTCTGTCAGTTTCTCTCTGATTGATTGATTGATTGTTTGATTTATTTGAGTAACACAGTGTTGTAATTTCCCCAAACATTAGTACAGTCTCTGATTATTATATATCTGAGCTCCTCTAAATAACTCGCCCAGCAAAATAAAGGCGTAATTGATGAGACTCTGTGTCTTTACTGTCAGCTCTGGATACTCCTTCAAGTGCTTGACATGTTATTTCTCGGTTGTCACGGAACAACTGGCAAAAACTGTGTTGTCTGTCAAAGGCGATAATTGGAGTAAAACTACGATGTTTCTTCATGTTTGTATCCATAATGCATATCAGTTCTGGCTGCCGGCCCTCTCTAGGGGTAAGAGAGCGAGCCGATGAGAGGCACTTCACTGTGTCAGTCTGAAAGACTGTGGTCCTTTTGCGTACTTGTTGACGGCGTGACAGGAACTAAGTGACTGGGTGAAAATCACACGTGTGAACGTTGTGTTAGCGCCTGCGGATGACACTGCCGCATGTGTTCTTCCTGCTGCCTTCACCTGGATGCTGGTTCTTAAACCTGAGAGCTGCTATTGTCTGCTGAGAGCCACCTGGGTTGCCATGGCAACCGCTCAGGCACGGGATGATGGTGTGTGTGTGTGTGTGTGAGTGAGTGTGAGGTGTATTATGAAAGGAAGGAGAGATAGGGGCCTCACCTGAATGCTTGGCTGAATCTCTATAACTCGTCTCCAGCCTCTTTGCTCTCAGCAGCTGGACTAAAGCCAAGCACCTGGCATTCTTCAGCTGTGTGTGTGTGCTAAACCTTTCTTAAAACATATTACTTTTGGTTTAAATGTATAAAAATGCTATACAGAGTGGATTTTCTCCAATGAATCCCTTTTAATGACTTAAAAAAAGCTAGTTTTGGAACATGTTAGCTGGTTTGTTGCTGGTCTAAAGTGGTCAGCTGTGACCAAGATGATCTACTAGGTTGAAACTTGGTCCACTTGCTCATAGACCAGCTAGAAACGATGGCAGTGTCCAAATATCATATATAGTGATATGGAAATGTATTTCTGGATTTTATCCGAATCCAGTGCATATATATCCTAGGTTTGATTCTGCACTGTGATTTGATTTTCCCTGTGAACAACAGGAGAGCATCCACTCAGCGGGTGCTAACGCAGATCTCCATAGTAACCATTGTAAACATCCTGTTTAATGAGTCATGTGATTAACCTCTCCCACCTCTGTATAATTAAACTGTAAGGACATACTGTGTTTATTGTGTTCATATTATTATTAAACTCATTTTGTTAATCTCGAATAGCATTTTATTAATGTGTCAGCTTTGAGTTTATGATGTTTATGATCATTACTGCTTCCCTTGGCAGTAAATATGCTGAAATAATTGTTTAAAAACAATAATATATAATTACTATGAGAATCCTTCTTTTATAAAGTGACAAAACAAAGTAAAAAAATAAAACTCTTTATTTTTATTTAAATTAATTTTATGTTCTTCTATTGTATATTTGATACCTTTTTGTTACATGTTTTTGCTTCCTGTACTTGTGTTGTATATTAATACTGAGGTGTCATTTTATACACCACTGACGTCACAAAATGGATCTGCAAAAATAATGATTGTTTTCAAACAGGTATCCTCCAAACACTTTCCTATAGATGCTTGTTTCCACCACAGGATAAAACAAACAAACAAACAAAAACAATAAAACAAACAAACAAAAAAAATAACAATAAACACAGCTAATAGCAGCTTTTTATCTCATAATTCTGACGTTTTATTGCATTTCTGAGTTTATATCTAACAATTCAGGCTTTTTTCCTTGCAATTTTGAGGAAAAAATTAAAAAATAAAGCTCAGAATTCCGAGCTATAAAGACAGAATATAAACTCACATTTCTGAGAAGATAATTGAGCTGTAAACTTGCAACGGCAGAAAAAAAGTCATAATTTTGAGATAAAAAAAATTGCAATTACCATTTTAGTTTTTTATTAAGTGATGGAACCAAAAATAAAAAGGATTGCGGGGATGTAAACTACTAATTTTGAAGAAAAAAAGTCCGAATTCTGAGTTTATCTCGCAATTCTGACTTTTTTAATTTATTTTTTCTTCTCAGAATTGCGAGTTTATATTTCTTTTTAGTACTGTGAGAATAAAGTTTTTGAATTGTGAGATAAAAAGATGCAATTACCTTTTTATATTATTTTTTAACCCATGACGGAAACGAGCTTCAGTCCTTCCCTGCCTGTCATTGGTCAAACCTCCAGAAAGCCCCGCCCCAAACTCATGCCATTGGTTGAGTCGTTGCTATGCTGGGCTGATCGGGATGCTTTAGAAAACCCCACAGACACAGTGTTCATATACTTTGCTGGAATGAGTGGCTTACCTTTTAGTTGTGCATTCAATTGTGAAAAATGATTTTAATATTGAATAAATAAATACACACTCCATCTTTAACTGATCAATATCTTTGTGCCTATCCTTTATCTCTTTAGAAAGAACAAGATGACTTAATTTTGACCCCGGATGGAACGCGGGAGTTTTTGACGTTTGAGATCCCTCTCAATGACTCGGGATCGGCCGGTTTAGGGGTCAGCGTCAAGGGCAATAGATCGAAAGAGAGCCACGCCGACCTGGGCATTTTCGTCAAGTCTATAATCACTGGAGGAGCCGCCTGCAAGGTAAAGAGCAGCTCTCTGATTGGCTATGAGACTCATCACTCTTTTTTAATTTTTTTAATGTTCATATATTCCAATGAAACTTTTAATATGCTCCTGTGTGTGCGATCACAGGATGGGCGTCTGAGGGTCAATGACCAGCTGATAGCAGTTAATGGAGAGTCTCTGCTGGAGAAAACCAATCAGGAAGCGATGGAGGCCCTCCGCAAATCCATGTCCATCGAAGGCAACAAGAGAGGCATGATTCAGCTGATCGTGGCCCGGCGGGTCGCAGGGAGGGGAGAGGTCAGTTGTCCACTGTCTGTAGCATGTACAGTAACCCCTGTTTTACATTCTATTATTTTGCTCTAAACTGTGGTATGAATTGCCAACATGCCCTTGTGAAAAAGACGTGTGCTTAATTGTATTGAATGTGCATTTGTAGTGTGCTTAAAATCTTAAAAGAAAATATACAAAAATAAAACTTTACGTACATACACTAAAATATACACTTTACAAACTATACGCTTTATATAGACCTATTCTCACTTTTAACTAGTTGCTTATCAGCATGCATGCTACTAGCACATTGACTGTTTATTAGTACTTCCGGTATAAAGCACATATTAATGCCTTATTCTGCATGAACGTATTTTAGATTGCTTAATCCACCCCATACCTAAACCTTACTAACTATTAAAAAGCAGCAAATTAGGAGTTTGAGGCAAAAGTCATAGTTAATAGTTAGTTAATAGTGAGAATTGTTCCCCAAACTAAAGTGTGACCAAAAATATATGATTAATGAAATAAAAGGCCACTCAAGTGTACTTGGAGAAAGACACTTTTATGACCATTTCTTAACACACTTAAGTACACTTTTAAATAGTGCAGTTTGTGTTAATGTTAAATGAAAAGTTTTACATTAAAGTACATTTTAAAAAATTGTTTTAACAATCTTTTGGGATGCTTTTTTTAAATGTGTTGACTAACATATTAAAGCAAATGTAAAATATTTGGTTAAAATTGTAGCTATAATTAATTCAATATTGCATTTGACATTAATCAATTTTAAATGTACTAAATTGCAACTTCATTACAAATGTGTATTACAAATATTTTTAAATAAATGAGATACAGGTTTTTGTGAAATTAAGTAATTATGAAATGACACATTAAAATGTACTTAAGTGGGTCAAAAACACTCGGAAGTTCAGCTAACTGCATTTAATATAAACTTATACTCTAATACATTTTCATTTAATTTCAATTATATAATATGAAGTTAAGTGTCCAAAAACGTTAGAATCACTTTACACTTAAGTATATTCTTTTAAAGCGTATTATTTTAAGTATGTTATAGTTTACTTTTTTCAGAAGGGTGTAGCAAGTTTTTTATTTACTTATTTTTTACTAGAAAAAAAAATGTAATGAAAAAACACAAACAGACCATTTTGTGTCTGTCTGCTTGAAGGAAATTTCTGGAAACACATGCCACAATGAGAATCGCATTTTCCTATTGTTACAACCACCTGGCTCTAGGTGAAGCAACATTACAAAGGGGAGGCCACACATGGAATTAAATTTAACAAATAAACTTTTAATCAAAAAATAAATCGAGATAAGAAATACAAGAAACAAAGTGAAGATACATAAAGAAAAAGAAGAAAACTATCCAGGGCTGAAGAGCAAAGATAAACAACACCTTCGCAGAACAACACCACCTGGTGGACAAATACAAAAACACTCTGGGTCGTAACACTATTAAAGGCAAATATGTCGAATAATTTCCTCTAATTAGGCAATGCATTAACCTCACTAAATGTGATCAGACTTATTCAGAATGACAAATCGTGGAACTTGGGAAACCACCCAATTATTCCAATGTTTCGTCCTTATTGTATGATTTTTGTCAGTAGGTGGCGCCATCACAAAACCGCTTGCGTGTTTTCACGGTATTGTGGCGATGATACCTAGAAAGTTTAATTTATCATACAGTTCCAAAGGTTCAGTCTTCCCGATTGACATCCTCTTGACCAAATGTATTTGTTTTGATGCATTGCATGTGAATGGTTTGGTGTATTAAAAAAGTTTTATTAATATTTGCCCAACATGAAGCCTGAAGATTAATCTGACCCAAATTTGGGGATGACAGCTGAAGGAAAAATTTAGAAAGTGTGTTTCGACAAAATGCTGGAAGGTGTAGTGTGGCATAAATTGAAACATTGAACTCTGCATGACCTAAGGAATCAGAAACATTGGTTTTTACGGATGTGAGAGTTTCGATAGCGATTTGAGAGATTTGCAGTGAAATTGGCAACCAGAAACCAATTTTTTTACAGTATGATTCTTGGGGCTGCCATAGACTTTAATGCAGCATAGTTTTAAACTAACAGACAATAGTTCAGTGCCGGGTCCTTAAATTCTGATGGTGAAAATGGCTTTCGTCCTGCATAGAGCTGGACTGACAGACAGACAGAGTTGAGTAGAGTGTGCAGACGGGGAAGTTTGACTGCAGAAAAAGTGAATTAAAGTGAGTAGTTCTTATCAGACAGACGCAGGAGACAGAGAGAGAGAGAGAAAGTGACACGAGGGGTGTGAGTGACGGATTGCGATCGAAAGCTATTTGACCGCTGAAATGCTCATGCTGATTTATACTGATAACAGATGGCAGTATGAAATATCAAATATCAACTTCAGATGCCGTCTTTTCCATCCCCCCTGTTTCCCCAATGCAATCCTTTGGATGTGTGTTTGTGTTTGTGTTTTTTTTCCCCGCACCGAGTCATAACATCTGAAAGTGTAATCTAACACTTATCTTTCTAAAGAATATACGACAGGCGCTTTGAAGGCGATGACATTCAGAATGATGACTGCTTATGGAAATGAGACGACTGGTGTCGAGTGGAGTGGATGTTTCCCAGAGGAGAAAGCTATTGCTCAGAACTTGCTCTTTCAGAGCTCAGGGGACTTAATGGAGTTTCTTTTAGATATCAGCTTTGTCTCGGATTTTCTTTAAATTTATTGAGATGAATAAAAATAGACAGCAACAAGGCACTGTTGGCTTACAATAAGAGTACAGTGCTTTAAAATGAAAGCGGATGCTATTGCTCAGATCATTTGCTCTTTGAAATATTTGATGAGGAATGTTTGAAGTCATGATGAAGCAGCACAGTTTTAGACATGCATGAGATGTGTGCTGAAACTCACTGGTTAGTTTATCCATTAGACTATTTTCAACCACATACTGTTTGTTTGTTTATTTATTTATTTATTTTCAAACATGTAAATATACATATACTACTGTTCATAAGTTTGGATCTGTAAGATTTTTTAGTGTTTTTAGAAAGAAGTCTCTTTTGCTTACCAAATCCGCATTTATTTGATCTAAAATACAGTAAAAACAGTAATATAGTGAAATATTATTACAATTTAAAACAGCTGTTTTCTATGTGAATATCTATTAAACTGTAATTTATTCCTGTAATGCAGCGCTGAATTTTCAGCATAATTACTCCAGTCTTCAGTGTCACATGATCTTCAGAAATCATTCTAATATGCTGATTTACTGCTCAAGAAACATTTCTGATTATTATCAATGTTGAAAACAGTTGTGCTGCCCTATATTTTTGTGGAAACTGTGATGCATTTGATTTTTTCAGGATTCTCAGATGAATAGAAATTTTAAAAGAACAGCATTTATTTGAAACAGAATCTTGTAGCATTGTAATCATATTTACTGTCACTTTTGATCAATTTAATGCATCCTTGCTGAATAAAAGTATTAATTCAAATAAATAAATAAATAAATATATTTCTGGCCTTAAACTTTTGGAAAAAAAATAATAATAATTTGAACAAAAAATACACACTTGTGTTTATGTATTCTTAGCTTATTGCCACTCAGTGGATGAATTTACTGTGAAATCTGACAAGTACATTTTCACTGCAAAGTGTCATGTGTAAAAACATGATGAGAAATAAGAATGTAAAACATTCTAAAAAAGTTGCATAAAAAATTACACGGGTTTAGAAAACACTTGTTTTGAAAACACATCTTACACATTGCTATTCATCAGAGCTTTTCCTCATATGTAGGCAACCTCGTTTGTTGATGAATCTGACTGCTCTGCTCGTGCTGTATTTGTATTTGCGTGCATCCAGTGAAGACAACACAACAGATATAATAAATAGTCTTTCTTTTATCTTTTGTACCCAGTCTTTCTCTTCCTGCAAACTCAGTCTCTTGTAATCATTCACGGATGTACACAGAGAAACCTGCGACACACACCAAGAGTGCACTGCTGAGCTCAGATCAGCCTTTATTAGCGGCTGTGTGGAGTTGATTGGTCCTGTTTGAGAGCAGCAGACCTCACGCTGACTTCCTGTCCCCTCAAACACACACACACACACACACACGTACGTCCCATCCATCCTCTCTCGCTCTTCCCAACCAAGGTCACCCGTCGCCTTCAGGAACACCCGGGCTCAAGGTCGCTCTTATCTGTCTGTCAAATGAGGATGAGGACGGTTGCTTTCATCCTTCTCATCAAACTTTGAAGTGCAGCCGGGCTCCCGCTGTGTACCAACATACACCATAAATTGTGCTTTGATATGACATTCAGAGAGAGAGGGAAAGCTGAAATAAGAAAAAAGAGAGATGAAAAGAATAGTGAAAGTGGAAAGAAGAGGAGAATGATGGGTAGTGAGAGATTGCAGAGGCCACTGAAGGAATCAGGGACTGTGTGGAGGGAGACAGCAGCGCTGCTACTGTCATACAGCAAATGCAGGAAAACAGAGGCCAGCATTAAAATGAATAAGATCCATCACTGTCCTCTGGCCTGTGTGTTTATGTGTGTGTGTGTGTGTACTCGATTATGTTTGGGAGAAGCACGTTCTCTCTTTAGTCCTGTCCTGAATGTGAATCGATGTCCTACACTGTCAGTCTAAAGCTCCTTTGTTCCAAAATACAGCAAGTTCATTAGTATTCATACGTTAAGTGTGGTTCTACTACAAATTTATTTTTATATGTTTGCATAAACACTAAACACCTACATCTGAAATGTATGCATATTGTGTATGAACATTTTCAAAGTGCATGTTTTACAAATACTATTATGTTCGTACATTATTGATTTTACTGTATTAATAGGTTGATTTTATGATATATAATAAGTAACTAATTAAAAATGCTCAGTGTCGTCATTCATTCATTCATTCATTCATTCTACCAATGCCTAAACTTTCAAATGTTAGAATCATGTAATTATTTATATATAGACACACACACTTTAAAATTTACAAATCTT